ACTACTACTACTACTACTACCACCACCACCACTACTACTACTACTACTACTACTACTACTACTACTACTACTACTACTACTACTACTCGTTGCTAATGCGATGGCTCTTGTTATCACTGTTTTTAATTTAACGGGCTACTGATACTGTTAATGCTACCTGCATTATCTACTCAACAACGCCTACTCGTAAGAATCCTATGCGTGTGAAACACAATGCAATGATGGCATGTATCGCCCACAGAAGCGTGAGGTATACACATGCACAGGTGCAGATTTATTGCAACTTTTTTTGTTTAGTAAGTAATAGGCAATCTTTGCGCATCCTTTCCTTGGGGAGTATTTGATGTTGACTCAGTCACGCGACCAGCGCCCACTCAGTGAAGTTACAACGCTTGTAAACAACCACACCTACGCGTGCCTACGATATATTTTACAATTCGCACCCGCATGTATGTACCGACATGGATTTAAGCAATTACGCTGTACATTATGGATTAGAATTGGAATTATTTACGTGTGGGAGCACGGATAATAAATTTATTAAACACGCTCGCAGGGAACGTGACGAATGGCACGTCTACATGTAACGTCGTTGTCACCCGCCAAGCGAAAATTAGCAGCGGCGAAAGAAACTGAGAAACGATATTATATATATGTATATATTATATATATAGGAAAGTAGGAAGCACGATGTCACGATAGATTTCATGACTGCAGTACAGCTTCTGGAAATTGCAAACGAGTCTGCGCATGCGCCTTCTGCTGACACACACACACACACGCGCGCGCGAAGAATAGTTCAGTTACTCGTCGTGGATTTTTTTTCTTCAATTTTTTCATGTTGGTTTCGACAGTAAACCAAATGCCGTGACAATTTTGAGGGATTTATATAAAAAGAAAATTGTAGAATACGACAACTGCTAACGGAAGAAAATTCTGGTCAGCTAAAATAGTACTGCATTGTTAGCAACGAAAGTCGAATAAAAAACTCGCAAACGAATAAGAATTTTACAAAACGTGGATAATATGCTGTAACAACTCCTGTCGACACGCACGCACGCTCGTGCACACGCACACGCACACGCACAGACAAACACACGCGCGCGCACACACGCACACACGCACGCACGCACGCACGCACTCACACACACACACGCACACGCGCACGCTATACACGACCGCAGCAGACAACACACGCGCGCGCACACACAACACACACAACAATTCACGCCGCCGGCGCCACGCAGACGCAAACCACACAACGCACACGCACACCACACGCACACCACACACACACAGCACACAGACACGACAGACAGCACACATGCATGCAGCGCGCCCCGCCACACACACTAACATGCATGCCACCCCCCCCCGCCCACACACTACATGCATGCAACGCCCCCCCCACCACAACACACCACATCATGCACCCCCCCCCCACACACCACTGACATGCATCCCCCCGCTCCCACACACACAGCATGCATGCACCCCCCCCCCACACAACACATGCATAGCAACCCCCCCCCCGCACCACACACAATCACACACACACACACACACACACAACACACACACCACACACACCCACACGACTACTCCGACACACACACACACCTCAACACACACATCCAATAAGCTATATTAGGAATCGGCTCACCTGTAGATAGACGATCAGTTTACAAAGCGTGTAGCCGAAAAACCACGTTTCCCATGTGTCCCAGATCAGCGTCGGAGGCAAGCAGATGAGAATCACCATGAAGTCGGCGATCGCCAGGTTCACAATGAAGATGTTGGTGACGGTCTGCATGTGCGGGTTGCGAAACACGGCCAGGCAGACGAGAAAGTTGCCGACGAGACCGACGACGAACACGAGAGCGTAGAGAGCGTACAGAAACCACTCGTAGGTGTTCGGAAACGCATAGTCCTCGATCTCGGTCACGTAGTCTTCCTCGGACACGCATTTCTGCTGCCACCACAAGTAACCGGGCGCGCAGACGTCGGTGCTGTCATTACGCGTCGCGTTTCCGACGTCCGACGCTTCCATGACGACAGCGTGGTGCTGCTGCTGCTGCTGTTGCTGGTGGTGGTGATGGTGGTGCTTTTGCTGCTGCTGCTGGTGGTGGTGGTGGTGCTGCTGCTGCTGCTGCTGCTGTTGTTGGTGTTGGTGCAGGTAATGTTGTTGTCGTCGTTGTTGTTGCTGCTGTTGTTGTTTTTTGTTGTTATTTCTGTTAGTTTTTCTAGTTAGTTCTCGGGATTCACTCGTCGCTCACGTCGACCGATTGTAGGCGACCAATGATTGTCGCAAACTGTCACTAACTGCCACTAACTGTCACCGGCTGTCACCGACTGTCACTGGCTGTCACAGGCTGTCACAGGCTGTCACTGGCTGTCAGTAGATATCACAAACGTCCATTGATTGCCACAGCTCGCGGCGTGTCACCTGCAGATTCTCCGACATTGTCACCGTTTACTGCGGGTCATCTGCAAATGTCCAGTTGAGTGTCACGGCTCATCACCTGTCACTCGTACACTGTCACGCCGTGTCGGGCCGCGGACACACTCGATGACACGGTCACGATCCACGAAGCGCGCGCGCGTGCACGCACGCTCACTCACACGCCTGCAACGAACAAGAAGAAACACGCGTGCGTTAATGAGAGACCTCCCGCGACGAGAAGAGATGTCGAGGCGCTGTGTAGGGAGAGAGGCTCTGCCGCTGCCCGGGGAGGCGCGGCGGCAGACGCTGTCTGCGCGCAGCCGCCGTCAGAACACGCGGGCGGAGATGCAGAGATGCGGAGGAGGGGGAGGAGGGGGAGGAGGGCAATATTAAAGTGTCATTAATGAACTGCACAATGAAATAGATGGAATTTGGCGCGGCTGACGAGCGGGCGGCCTACATCCGACGGGAAATGCACCGAAGGAAGCCACTCCTGACCGCGATCACGAGAGATCTTCCTAAGTAATTATCTCGATTCGGCGATGCGCGCATCTGCGCATGCGCGCCAGAAGGCGCAGTCGGCCGCTATTAGACGTGCTTAAGAAGTAGAGAAAGCGCTTCCTGTGTCGCTATAGGGGAAATGAAGAAAATGCATTGAATTATCAAAAGCTTTGAAAACCTTTGGTCTTCGGTTATAACCACTATCAGTACAGTGCTATAGCGAAAGTTGAAGTCACCATTGCCATTGTCATCACGGTAATAATAATAATAAT